TCAGCATTAGATTTGAAATTTGAGAGGTCCATTCAGAAGTCTAATAATGGGGGGGAGAAGCTGTTTTTGATCCTGTTGGTATGTGTGTTTAAGCTTTTGTATCTTCTGCCTAATGGAAGAGATTGGAAGAGATTATAAACAGGGTGGGAGGGATCTTTGATGTTGGCTGCCTTTCCTAAGCATCGAGAGTATAGTTGGAGTCAATGGATGGAAGATTGGCTTGCGTGATGGATAAGGCTGTGTTCACAACTTTCTTTTGTCTAGCATTGCAATAAGTGCACCTGTATTCCAAACACATGTACCCACAAGATTCTCAGACTACAGTGCCTGGGGAGATTTTCTATTGAAGTCTGATAGCCAGACTCTAGCACTGATTGAATCATCTGGAATCATGGTTGTGAACTTTTATCTCAATTGTAATGGATTTGTTGGATTGAATCAGGGGTTAAATGGTCTTATTATATACTGACTTGATACCTTGTGTTTGTGCATTGATTAGTGTCTGTTATTTTCCTTTTATCTTTTCACCCCTGAATCTAAAGATGAAAACTTTCTGCATATCAGTTTTCTGTCTGACTAGATGTAATGAGTATTGTCCAGTAACTTACTGCCTGATTATGAGCGCAATCTGTGGGCATGCAGTGGTATCTGATGACATGCATGCGTAACGACATTCATCAAAGTGTTGTGTATCACAGTGGTGCATTAAATTGATAGCTGATGGCATATTAAGCAATATCACCAACAGCACTTTCAATTAATATAGCACCTTAATAAACAAAATGCCACGGTGCTGCACAGCTGCATTACAACACAATCTTTAGTACTCAAACACACACCGTGATATTGAAGACAATGGCGAAAAGTTTGATCAAAGAGATGTACAGTGTGGAAAAGGACCCTTTGGTCCAACTTGTCCTTGCCAACCAGTTATCCTAAATTAATCTAGTCCCATTTGCCAAAATTTGGCCCCTATCCCTCTGAATCATTCCTATTCATATACCCATCCAGCTGCCTTTTAAATGTTGTAAATGTACCAGCCTTCACTATTTCATCTGGCAGTTAATTCCATACACGCACCACCCTCAGCGTGAAAAATTTGCTCCTTAAGTCCCTTTTAAATCTTTCCCCTCTCATCTTAAACCTATGCCCCCTAATTTTGGACTTCCTTACCCTGGGGAAAAGACCTTGACTATTTACCCTATCCATGCCCCTCATGATTTTACAAACCTTGATAAGGTCAGCCCTCAGCTTACGACACTCCAGGGGAAATAGCCCCAGCCTATTAAGCCTCTTCCTATAGCTCAAACCCTCCAACCCTGGCAACATCCTTGTAAATATTTTCTGAACCCTTTCAAGTTTCACACCAACAGAACAGAACTGAACACAGTATTACAGGAGTGGCCTAACCAATGTTCTGTACAGCTGCAACATGATCTCCCAATTCCTATACTCAATGCACTGACCAATGAAGGCAAGTGTACCAGATGCCTACTTCAATACCCTGCCTACCTGTGACTCCACTTTCAAGGAACTATGAACCTGCACCAACACTCCCCAGGACCTTACATTAAGTGTATAAGTCCTGCCCTGAATTGCCCTACCAAAATGTAACACCTCACATTTATCAAAATTAAACTCGATCCGCGCTTTTATAAAAAATATAGAATCCATACAGTGTGGAAACAGACCATTCGCCCAACAAGTCCACATCGACCCTCCGAATAGCGTCCCACCCAGAACCATCCCCCTACCCTTTCCCTGTAACCCTGCATTTCCCATGGCTGATGTACCTAACATACATATTCTTGAACACTATGGGCAATTTAGTATGGCCAATCCACCTAACTTGCACATCTTTGGTCAGTGGGAGGAAGCCAGAGTACCCAGCAGAAACCGACGCAAACATGGGGAGGAACATACAAACTCCACACAGACAGTTGCACGAGGGTGGAATCAAACCCGGGTCCTTGCCACTGTGAGGCAGCAGTGCTAACCATTGAGCCACTGTGCCCTTAAAGGCCTGAACAAGATCCTGTTGTACTCTGAAGTAACTTCATTCACTGTGTCATCAGCAGATTTACTAACCGTATATATTCACATCCAAATCATTTATATAAATGATAAAAAGGAGTGAACCCAGCACAGATCCTTGCGGCGTACTGCTAGCCTCCAGTCCAAAAAGCAACCCTCCACTCTTTTAAATGAAAGATGTAAACAGAAGAAAACAAGAACCACTCCTGGGACAGAACCAGGTGAAACAGAGAGCAAAGCCCACTATGCTCTTCCAAAACAGAAAATAAAGGTGTAGCACTTCCTGCGGTTGCAGGGAAAGGTGCTGGGTGTGGTGGCGTTATTGGCGAGTGTGGAGTGGACGAGGGAGTCACAGAGTGAGCGGTTCCTACGAAATAGGGGCAGGGAGGGAAATATCTCTTTGGTCGTGGGGTCAGATTGTAGGTCGCGGAAGTGGTGGAGAATGATGTGCTGGTTGTGGAGGTTAGTGGGGTGGTATGTGAGGACCACAGGGATTCTGTCTTTATTTTTGTTGGGGGGGAGGGTGTTTGAGGGCAGAAGTGCGGGAAACGATCACCGGAGGGGGTGGATGTTGCAGTCCTTGAAATAGGAGGACATCTGGGATGTCCGGGAGTGGATCACTCCATCTTGGGAGCAGATGTGGCGGAATTTTATTTTGACAGGGGATGAGGCTCTGCTCCCAAGATGGAGCATTCCACTCCCGTTCCGCACACCTACCCCTATACCTTCCCCCTCACCTCCAACCTTCCCCCTCGCCTCCATCCAAGGCCCAAAGCAAACTTTCATATCCAACAGCATTCACCTGCACATCCTGCAACCTGGTCTCCCTAACCACTGTTTCCGAAGTGGTCTCCTCTCCATCAGTCAGACCAAGTGCAGACTCGGGGACCGTTTTGTGGAGCATCTGCCCAGTGTATGCGACAAACGACAACACCTACCAGTCGTCAACAATTTTAACTCCCCATCCCACTCCCTTGATGACATGCCCATCCTGCGCCTCCTCCAGTGCCACAATGACACCACATGTAAACTGGAAGAGCAATACCTCATATTTTGCCTTGGGAGCCTACAGCCTGATGGCCTTAACATAGAATTCACTGGTTTTAAAATCTCCACATCTCTGCCCTCGTTCCACATCAAAACCTCTCTCTCATCCCCGCCTCCTTGACCTGACACAACCTGTCCATCATCTTCCCCACCCATCCACCCCACCCTACCCTTCCCGCCAACCAATCCCCACTACCCCTTACCAGCATCCAACCAATCACCACCCCAAATCCTTTCCCCAGCCCCATCTATCCTCCCTCCTGCTTCCTTGACCCGACACTACCTGCCCGTCTTCACTCCCACCTATCTGCCCCACCTTGCATCCATCCATCATCATCCCAAATACCTTTCCCCAGCCCCACCCCTTCTCTTTCTATTTATTTCCCAGCTCCCTTCCCCCTCCCCATTTCTGAAGAAGGGTCCTGACCTGAAACGTCAACCTTTCTGCTCTTCTGAGGCTGCCTTGGCCTGCTGTGTTCCTCCAGCTCCACACTGTGTTGTTTCTAACTCCAGTATCTGCAGTTCTTGCTATCTCCATAAAAACAGCTCTACCTTGACTCTCTCCCTGCCAACCTCTTTTGGGCATGGATGACAGAGGGCCAAAATAAAAATAAACTCAAGCAAAAGCAAACAAATAGTCAAACAAACACATAACCAACTAAATAAATCCCCTCTGCTCCGTCCCCATTGAGCACTCCTGGGACAGGGACAACAATGGTTTAAAATCCAGAGGAAGATCCCCAGCTCACTTCAACTAAAAATTCCCCCCCCACCAATCCCTATCAAAAGTATCTGAGACTGAGACAGAGACAGTACAGGACTAAAATAGAAGCACCCTTGGCTCTTCCAAGGGGTCCAAAATTGGAAACAGGGGAATATAAGCAACCCTCTTCCCAGGGCACCAAACTGAAAACAAATGCAAACTCAAAAAGGTGAAATGGAAACTTATACTACAGAGACGATTAACTAAATCAGAATATCGTTATCCAGGCTAATAACGCACTCCAGCCCCCGTAGTGCCAAGAGGTCTCAAAAGACCTCAACCGTGCCAGTGAGCACCGCATGCTGCCTCTCCAGGGATGCCCGAGTGCAGATGTAACCATGAAGGAGGGGCAGACAGTCAGGAACAATGAGCTCCTCTTTGGCCTGCTGCCCAGACCTGTTGATGGCTGATGAACAAAACGTTATGCCAAGGAGTGTCTGGGCAGCAGGTGAAGGCACGGCAATGGAGAGTGTGCGGCATCAACCCATACAAATAACACCCTGTGTCATTTGAAAGGGCACCAGGAGGATATCCCTGAGATGGCTCAGATTGTAGGGCACAGGGGAGGGTCAGCAGCGCAGGGTCAATGTTGAGTTCCGGAGGGGTCAGTTTGTCCGGAAGCCCACCGCATGCCTCAGCTGCCTTGACTGCGGGCGAGGTGTTGGGACCAAGTGCCTTGTTCATTAGGCTCCGGATGGTTCGGGTCATGAACTGGAGGTGGACCGATGACATCACAGTTCGGTGCCAGGGTTATCCAGCCCGCTCCTCTGCTATACAGTGTGTCCCTTACTCTGGTCAGGCTCTGCATCCCGAGCTCTCTCCTCCCTTGACCAGTGCAAATTGCACTCGAGGAGGAACCTGTTCCTGAGCAAAAGCTCCCTAACGAGAGCTGCCACTCCTATAGCGGGAGAGCTCCAGCACAAGCAGTGTCCCAGACTGTGATCAGGTCCAGATAGAAGACAGACAGGCAATTCCTGGAAGAAGACCTGAGGCCAGGACCACTCCACAGACAGTAACTGTATGCTGTAACAGAGGCTGCGCGCCTGACAGAAGAACTACGTCATTAGGGCGCACTACCTTGGAGGAAGCCTAACATAAAGGCATCGCTGCAGGGTCAGAAGCCTGGGTATGAAAATGCCTGACCATCCTCCTTAAGCGGGAGACTCGGAACCGCAGCAATGACCCAGTGTTGCCTCTTGTCCTTGAAAAACTCAACAAACTTTTTCTGGATGGCGGTGACAAAGCCAGGGACATGGACCAAAGTGACCAACCGGTACGACAATATGGTGGCCACCAGCTGGTTTATGATCAGCACTCGAAACAGTCCCATCCAGTGTGCGAGGTGGGTGGCCACCTTGGTCTGCAACTCAAACCAATTTGCCAGCCAGGATTCCTCAGCAGGGCAAAGATGGACTCCCAGGTAGAGGAGGTGAGTGGTACTCCACATTAAGCACTGGAGCTCCTCTGGCAGGGTGTGCATCTGCCACAGAGCAACCAGAAGTCCCGGCACTTGTGCAATTTCCGTAGGTCACCTGGGTCTGTGAACATGAGGAGCATGTCGTCAGTGTATGCTGAAGGAACCACCTTCAGCCCCAGCATGTGCAGAGCCAAAACCAAAAGCTGCTTACACAAAAGGCACTGGAATGGCTCCAAACAGGGATTAAAAAAAACTGGACAGAGAGGGTAGCCTTGATGCACTACTCTTCCCAAAGCACAGGGTGTTATCAGGGACCCGTTAACCTTCACTAGGCACTACGCGACAGTGTACAGAAGGTGGATTGAGATGACAAAAAGAGTCCTGAACCCGAATGCTCGCAGAGACCCCAGTAGATAATTGTGATTCACTCTGTTGAATGCCTTTTCCTGATCAAGGGAGAGAAAGGTACTTGACAGACCAGTCCTCTAGGAATAATTGATCACACCCCAGACCAGGTGGATGTTGTGGATGCTTCGGCCCACGGTGGTGTAGGGCTGGTCTGTGTTGATCATGTGGTCCAGCACGGTGCAAAGGCGATTCAAGATTTTGTAGTCCGCGCTGAGGAAGGAGACCGGATGCCAATTTTTTAGCAAACTGAGATCCCCCTTAGGCAATAGAGTGATGATGGCCCTGTGCCAAGAAAGGGACATCTCTCCGGTCACGATACATTCTTCCAGGACCCGTGCACAGTCATCCCCCAGGACATCCCAGACACCCTGAAGAACTCCACGGTCAGCCTGCCCTGCCCTGGGGACTTGCCCCTGGAAAGGTGGTTGAGGGAACTGGTCAGTTCCTCCGGGTTTAGAGGGGCATTGAGCCTCTCGGCAATCTCGGGCCTGACCTGCGGCAGGTCCTTCCACAAAACTTCGTGAGCTTCATCACTGGACAGTTCTGGAGAGAAGAGAGCCCTATAATAATGCCTCACTTGGGCTCAGATGCCCTCTGAATCAAAGACGAGGGATCGATCATCGGCTAGTAGCACAAGGAACTGCTGGCAGACCCCATGCCTCGAAGGGGGAGTCACGGTCAAGACCCACAATCTCAGGACCAACCAAGATGCAAGAGTAAAAAAGGAAAGGAAATGGATGGGGTGGACGAGTTCCATCTGAAGCGTCCTATTCCACTGTCATCTTGGACTGAATGAGGGATATTGGTCAAATGCAGGCAAATGGGGCTAGTCTAGTTTGGAGGTGTTTTGGAAAGTTAAAATCCCCTACCATTACCACACTTACAGATAACTGAGATCTCCTTAAAAAATTTCCTTCTCAATTTCCCACTGACTATCTGGGGGGAGGCAGTGTCTATAGTACAATCCCAATAAGGTGATCATCCTTTTCTTATTTCTCAGTTCCACCCAAATAACTTCACTAGACATACTCACCAGAATATCCCCCCTAAGAAGTGTCCATGAAGAGCATCTCAAATAAGGAAAGAGAGGTAGAGTGAGATTTAGAGAGGGAATTCCAAAGCTTAGGACCTTTGCAATTGAAGGCAGGCTGCCAATGATGAAATGATTGGCATTAGGGTGTTCCAGAGATCTCAGAAGGTTGTGAGGTTTACAGAGATGGGGAGGAACGAGGACATGGAGAGATTTGAAAATTAGAAATTTTAAGGTAGAAATTTTAAATTGAGATGTAATTTTACTAGAAGCCAGTGTAGCTCACAGGTGAGATTACAAGGATGTTTCCTTTTAAGGATTCATGAAATTCATGAAATTCCCAGCATTGCTGGGAAAGCCAACATTCGTTACTTGTACCTAACTGTCGTTGTGAAGGTGGTTGCTCATGATTGCTTTTAACTGCTGCAGTCCACTCACTATGTTAGGGAATTCTGGGATTTTGTTCATATGATAGTGGTCCAGTGGAAGGAACTGTCAAAAGAGCTTTGGTGAGTTGCTGTAATATACTTCGTAGATGCTCCACATTTGTTGCTACTTCTGTACTGGTGGTGCAGAGGACTGAATCCTTAAGGTGGTGGATAGGGTGTCAAGCATGCACTTAACTTTTGTTCTGGATGCTGTTGAGCGTTTAGATTGTTGTTAAGATGCACTCATCGAGGCCTTTTGAGAGTATTTCATCGCAGTCCTGATTTGCACCTTGTACGTGATGAATCGGCCTTGGGGTATTAGGAAGTGAGTTACTCGCTAAGGAAATCTGAGCTTCTGACCAGCTCTTTCCACAGTCTGATTGGTTCAAGTTATTCTTGCCATTGTGTGGTTGGTTCACTAGTGACCACTCTCCACTCCCAGGATATTAACAGTAAGAAATTTAGCAGGGAAATTGCCTTGAATGTCATGGGGTGATGGTCATTGTGTGGCAAATGTGTGACGGTACTGTGCCTTTAAGAGAGATGTGATCTGTCCTGTTTCTCTTGCAGAGAGGTGTTGCCACAATGGTGCCAAAATGTCTCTTTCAGACAGGCAGTTGGTAAATAGCTTTTGAGTTCTCTCTGGGTGTTATTTTTAATGAGAGAACAAAATCATGAGTGGGCGGGGTCAGGGCTCACACAGACCCAAGAAGGCTTTTAGTTTTGCTTTCAGTTAGTTAAAGGTCTACTGGCTGCTGAGGGAACGAGAGGCTTCCTCTGTAAAATCAAAAGGAGCAGATTGTTTCTTTCTTCTGAACTGAAGAGAGGCAGCATTTGAGAACCAGAACTGTTTTGCTGAATTGCAATTTTGCCAAAGCGTGTGTTTAAGGGACACTGCCTATATTGGTACAGTTAATTAGGGCCTAGTTAGGGCCTAGACCCTATCGCCTTCCTATATTTTGAAGAGGGAGAGTCCTGGTCTGGTCCATACCACTGGTTAAATGGGACAGACTTTGAACAGCTCAGGCAACTCCAGACTGGGCATCTATAGCCATCAACAGCAGATTCATATTCCAACCTAATCTGTGAACTCTGGACCAGCTCTTTTTTGTTTATTCACCTGTGGGACATGGGCATCGCTGGCTGGGCTAGCATTTCTTGTCCATCCCTAGTTGTCCTTGAGAAGGAGGAGGTGAGCTGCTGCCTTCAACTGCTACAGTCCATGTGCTCAGTTGGATGGCCTTTAATTTAACTGGGACAACGTGACCATCCAAGCTCAAGCCAACCACAGACATGCACGGGAATTCCTAGAGGCCTGGTTTTCAACCCGTAATGCAATCAACAAACATGTGGAATTAGACCCCATATACAAATCCATGCAGAACAGAACCAGAAATGATACAACCCAACTTAACAGACCGGATCATATACATACAAAGCGGAGTAGAACAACATTGCTTCATTGGAGATAACAAGGTGTAGAGCTGGATGAACACAGCAGGCCAAGCAGCATCA